AATTCCATCAATATATATATATATATATATACATATATAAAATACAACTGGTCTTCAATATTTCATGTAATAGTAATGTTAAATCATGTCAAACATATATGCCCTTAAGACCATGGCTTATGGGCCATATTCAATATATTTAGCCTTGCTCAGACAGAGTCAATTACCATAGAATAGCAGTAGTCCATCCATGCATGATGGCTCCTTCTCCCTCGCCCATTATAAATTTGATAAATCACTGTCTGGCTATTTGATGGATTGCCACAGGAGAGAACAGGCACAGTTTGATATCTTTGGGTTAGAAAAGTGTTAATAGTCAAAAAGAATTATATAAATATTCAGGCCAATAACAAGAATTTAAGATACTAATGTAAATAACAAACCAACAGTGAACTGAGGCTTATATGCCACCCTCCTCAATCCCAAAATAAATAGATGACATGACACTCATTAATTACTTGCTCATTTATCTTTTTCTTTTTATAAAGCATCAAGTAATCAAATTGCTTACCACTCTGCTTAACCAGAGTCAAAAATGCTCATTATTGAACTTTAGGTCATGGTAATGATGTAAGGATAACTATACACCAAGTTTCGGTACTTGCACACAATTAGAATCCAAGTTGTTGAGTTCCCAAAGCATTGACAAATCAAATGGCTTATCTCCTCAGTCTGAGCACAACATGCCCATCATCGAACACAGTCAAGGCCTTCACCTAATGAACATGTACACTCAATTTCAACAACCTACTTAAATTAGAACCAAAGTTATTATGTTCCAATAATGGTGATGGACAGACAAACGGACAACCCAATTTTAATAATCCCCCGTTTTCTTACAAAGTTGTGGAACAAAAATGCATTTAGGTAATGTTTTGAAAACTAATAAGGGAAGCACTATCACCATCTGCCGCTACTAAACAGATTCACTAAAATAACCGATATTGTTCTGTGCACCAGTCAATCGCAACAGACTGTAGTAAATAGAAGCGTTCATTCATCCATGATCATTCAATCAAATTACGCTACAAATCAACCATACTATCTGTTCTTGCTAGAATATCTACATTCCTCTACAGAAAACAGTTGCACTTTGCAGAACAGTGTTTTGATAAATTGATATAAAAGGTTTATGATTATAAGCGTTTTTAACCCTAGTTCACTTATCTGTGATTATTGTATAGTTGAAAATCTATATTAAGATACAACTGAAATAGAATTAAATGTTTCCAAAGAGCTTTTCACACAGTTTTATTCATTAAAATATATCTGAAATGGTTCTTTTAAAGGAGTTAATTGCTAATATTTGGGATCTTGAAATTGACTCGAATGGGTCGCAACCCATACAATTATGTATTATGAATGTATATAAACTGATTTACATTCAATCGTTTTTACTTTAGTTTCTAATCAGTTATGTTCGGCGAAATACACCAGAAGTCTCAATTAAATGGCAATCTCTAACATCTGGTTATTCCAGTCTACACCGATAGTATTTATTGGGCATGCTCTCCAGGTAAGAATGTGGGATCATCGTTTAACATGACTTGTGGAATATGTCTTGTTACAAATGGTGCTGAAGCGCATTATGGTACACGATTCATGTACCAATAGTAAAATGTTTATTTTGTTCATAAATATTGGATATCAGAAGCCCATCTTTTCCTGGTAAGATCACAACATCAATGTTGACAAATAATTTGTGTTTTCAATGTCGAAGACTTTGGATGATATGGAGTTAGAGACTTAGCCACTTTAACGTTATTTGTAAGTATGGGCATGTCATATTGACTGAACAAAATGAACTAGTAGAGTATCTTTGACAAAAGATGCACATAAAAAGGACAACTGAATGAAAAGTCCATAATGATACCAATCTAGTTTAAAAAAATTTCCTTGGCATTAACCCTTTATATGCATACAGGTCTGTATACAGTACTTGTAAACTTTAAAACATCCTTGATGAGATTGCTAGCAAATGGAATCAGAATCAACCATGTAAAACCTATTCAGGATTTCAAAGGATAATCAAAGAGCTTTAAAACAATTTCAGAACATCAAACTGGGACCTCAAATGATAATGAATGAAAGATTTTATAAGCTTCTATTAACACTGAAATTGCTCTTAAAGAACTTGGTGAAATAGAATGTATATTGGTAGTACTTTGATCTTACAGACATGTAGGTGAAGGAATGATATATCACCAGACACTAAATGTATAGCATGTTTTCAAACCATGGCATACCAGAAATTCTATGAACATCTTACAGACAGCCACTAATTCTATTACACAAGATTCATGCACTGGCCGAACTTATTTAAGTACTTATACCTCCCTTTTAATTGCCAGGAATTATTATTGGATCTAAGCAGAAAAACAGCCCTGTCTTGTATAAAATGCATGACTGAGCAGACAAAACATTATATCCTTCAACAAAACCAACATAATATGGCTACACTATTAATTATCATTAAAGGGGAAACATTCAGTTTTAGATTTTATTCATTTTTGTTTGGGGATAGGAGATTGTAGTAGGAGCAGGGTACAAAATCATTTTCAATTTTTAGGGAAATTTGTCAACTGCCACTGGCTACTGGACTAATGAAATCACTCAGAAATGCATAACAAATTACTGAACATTGTTAAACATACATTATGCCTATTGCAGGTCTTTCTTTAGGCCTGAAATGTTATATAAACTATTAATTAGACATTAATTAACTCTTGATGGCATCGGATACTCAAGATTTTAACTAGATTAGAACGGTTCGCTATTTAAAAATTTAGTTTAAAAATGGAAAAAGCAAGGCTAAGTCTAGAAAAATAGAATATAACTTGGCTCAGAATGGTCATTTTACATTATCTATTTTTGGGCTATTATAGCAAGAATGGTCAGCTCTTTATCTAAATCTTACATAATGTATCTTTAAGCAATGTTATGAATGAAGTTTAGTCGTTCGTTTAAGTAAAAAAACTGAAATCTTGGTATTTGGAATTCTAGGAAAAATTCCACTCCTCTCAAAATGACTAAAGTATTGTGTTAACAACAGCCCTTTAAATTGCATTCTATTGCATTATAGCCTACTATGCAGAAATCTTTACCATACAGACTAATTAACATGCAAGATATGCCCACGATGGACAGAAAACAAGCTTAAAAAAAGAAAAAAAAGAAGAAGCGATTCCATACAATCAGGGACTGTAATCAAGAAAGTTAGTCTGATATGTGCAAGTATTGAAAAGAACCCAGACCTTTGGGATATAAAGATATATTTTAAAGGAGATAAATCGCTAACATTTGGGACCTAGAATTGACAAAAGTGGGTCGCAACGAATATAATACTGTAATATGAATGTATATAAACTGATTTGCATTCAATAGTTTCCGTTTTTACTCCAATTTCAAATCAGTTATGTTCGGCGAAATAAGCCAGCAGTCTCAAGCGAGTGCAAATTTCTAGCGTCTGGTTATTCCAGTCTACATACACCGTTTGATTTGGTGCAATGTGTCTAGCCTCGAGTCTCTTGATACAACTGGGGCTGAAGCGCATTATGGTACACGATTCGTGTACCAATGGTAATATGTTTATTTTGTCTTAAATATTGGATATCAAAAGCCCATCTTTTTCCGGTAAGATCACAACATCAATGTTGATTTAATTTGACAAATAAATCGTGTTTTCAATGTTGAAGATTTTGGATGATATTGAGTTAGAGACTTAGCTACTTTAATCTTCATTACAATTGGGTAAAAATTGTGACCTCTGGATGGTCAACAACCTTGGTATGACATACTTTTACACTATTTGCGTAAAGGGAGCAGCCATTTTGTCAGGCAGTTTCTATCCGATTTTCACGAAAGTCAAAATCAACTGTCATTATGGTATAAATGGGGATATAATTCAACATTGTTTTTTTTTTTTTTTTTAAATCGGATAACAATGTGTCCTCGAGAGGTTTCCACAAGGTAAAAACCTGATTTTTTGTACAATCAGGGCCCATAATACAGGAAGTTAGGGTCTGATATCGAAAGGAACCAAGATTTTTGGGTTATAAACAAACATTTCAAGTTTCATCAAAATCAGATAAAATTGTGACCTCTAGAGTGCCCATAAGCTAAAAATGTGATTTTCCGCACTATCAGGAGCCATAATCCATGAAATTACGGTCCGATACATGCCAATATCGACGAAAACGAGATCTTTTAAATATAAACCTACAGACTATCCACAAACAAATTGTGGACGGACGGACAGGGGTGACGACAATATACATGTATGTCCACATGAAAATGTGGGCGTATAAAAAGTAATTTATTGATACTGTAGCATTAAATTTTTACTTATATCATCCTCTATACAATCCTATTCTTTTGGTGACCTTGATAACAAAATAATTGACTTTGTCTTGTTGTCCGGTCTGCACACGGCAGCTTTCTTTAAGATCTTAAATAGCTTATATTTACGAAATGAAATTGGGCTTAAAATCATACTTTTCTGTGTCAACAGGCATGGGCATGCAGTATCTCAAAATGTGAATTTGCTCTTACAGCGGCCTTCTCTTACGGCTATCTCTTTATTTCAATATTCTTAAATAGTCAAGGATACAAATCAAATTTTGAAGTGGAATATAAATGAATTGTTTTTGCCAAGATCCATGTCACAAAATGTTTAAGTTGTATTCCCTATTTGAATACTATTCTTGTCCAATTAGATTGTAGTCAATTTTAGATTTATACCACCATAATACCTGACATTAGAATGATATATATTTTTTTTTATTCAACATTAGAATTACATAGCTTGGTTTTTCTAGAAAAAGACAGACACACTTAAATTTGTTACTGGACAAATCCTCTAATATACGACTCAAGCTGGCTCAAATAATTGTGTCTTGAGATAATCGTAAAAAATGTCTTTTATTGAGAACTAAGACATCTGAAGCAGTAATATTTGGTTGTTGGGAGAAGAAAGTCAAATACGTATTAAAGAGTCTAACCTTGCCCAACGTTCAGCAATTAATTTCTACAATCCCGAGTCAGAAACGATAAAAAATAATCTGGCAAAAAACAGCAACCCTTGATAATTTCACCTTCGTGTTTTTTTAGCACTAGTAGTGATACATCAACACTCTTTTATTGGTAAGTTGACTGCTTTGAAAAGGATCAACTGAAAATGGAAAGCTTCAAATCAATCTCATGAATTGTACATACAATCTAGGTAAGGAAAAGAATTGTCTGCCCAACTAATTCCACAAATCCCCTTCCGGAGTTAGATGCGAGGATTTATTGTCGAGAAACGAGACAGAAGAGTGGTGAGATCGTGACCCAGTATATCCATATTGATGGGAGTTGACCAAGTCAAGACAATCGGCCATGTTTTCATGTCTGGAGTCAGACTGTTTCAATTATACATAAACATAAATGGATAATACTTGATTTTCTTTTTTGACATCAAATGATTTTCAATCATCATAGATCAGAATCTTGTACATAAAATATCTGGTGAAATAAAAGTCTCATTGAAAAAATTCATGTTTTCATTATGCAAATGATTTTTAATCATCATAAATCAGATGTAAAATTATTAGTTAAAAACAAGATAAAAGTTTTGATTAAAATCGTTTACAGAGTATTGCTAATGTCTCTTTTTTTCTTAACAAATGTATTTCATATAAATGTATTATAAGGTAAAGAATATGGGCTCTGTGTATATATATATATAAAAAGAATAAAAGAAAACCCCCAAAACAAGCAACTTCTTTTAGCAAGGCTTGTGTTATTACCATATTATAGACCATTTAACAAAACAAAAACAAATATTATTGTAACATACATATATGTACACTAAAACTAAAAACAAAATCCTCAACTCATTAAATCATACAAAACTATTTTGTACAACAATGGACATCAACAGATATACTATTCAAAAAAAGTAGGGGATATTTGATTTTTAAGTGTTATTAAAGTCACCTAATGAAACTGACGAAGAAACAAATGACAAAATGAAATGAAGTTCACATTCATCGATTTATTCCAAATGATCGTTAGACTAAGTAAGGCACAGACTGACCATTATAAGGGTAAATGATACCCGGGGTCAAACAGAAAAGTTACCACAGCATCACAACCAAGTCAGTAACGGGTAAATCCTCCTCTGTTTGCCAAACAAGCATTGATCCGACGTGGCATACTCCTAATGAGACGTCTAAGGTCATTTTGGTCCAGATTGTCCCATTCCTGTTGCAACGCAGCAGCAAGTTCTTGGACATTGGCAGGACGTTGTTGACGTTGACGTAACCTCTGTCCAAGCATGTCCCAGACATGCTCGATGGGGGAGAGGTCGGGACTCAGTGCTGGCCAAGGTAATGTGGTGATGTTCTGTTGTTGGAGGTAACCTGTAACGATCCTGGCCCTGTGACATCTTGCGTTGTCATCCTGGAAGATGAAACGGCGGCCATGACGTCGTGCGAACAGCACAACATGGACTGCCAAGATGTTGTCCCGGTAGTACTGGCCTGTAACACGCCCTGCAACAACATGTAAAGCCGTTCTTCCAGCAACAGTGATGCCTCCCCACACCATAACAGATCCACCCCCAAATCGATCATGTCTGATGACGTTAACGTCTTGGAAGCGCTCGTTTCGACGACGCCACACCCTCCTACGTCTGTCCAAAAAATCAACAGTGAACCTTGACTCATCTGAAAACATCACATTGCTCCAGCGTCGATTATCCCAGTGTTGACGATCCCTACACCAACGACGTCTTGCCTGAATGTGATGATCTCTCAAACAAGGGATCACGCGAGGACGTCGGGCGCGAAGGTGACCCCTATGCAGTCGATTCCGAATCGTCTGGCCACTCACTCTCACACCAGTGTCTGTTTGAAGACGAGCGCTGATCTGATTTGCTGTGATGACACGATTTCTCAAGGCCAAGGTACGGATAAATCGATCCTGGGCTTGAGTTGTCGCCCTTGGTCGACCTGAGCGTGGTCTGTCCTGTACAGATTGTGTATCACGGTATCTGGACCATAGCCTGCTTATGACAGACTGAGAAACATTCATCGTCCGCGCCACAACCGCCTGTGTTGTGCCGATCTGTAGCATGCCAAGGGCACGTAACCTTTCATTTTGGGTAAGCCGACGCATATCAAAATTTGTTTTCTGGTCACTAAAACAATTAAACTGATGTTTCCACCCTGGAATTCAATGCCACAATGACTGTAACATTCAAAGTCAGAGTCGTGCAAATCTTGGGTTGGACCCCCATGATGATCCCAAGCATCACATGCATTAGCTATTGGTGCGTTTGGGCGTCACATGTAACTGGAAATGTTTCTTCTGTTAGGTTCTATAGTGACTTTTTTCGTAGTCATTTGCATATTTTAGTATTATGCCCCCAAAATCAAATATCCCCTACTTTTTTTGAATAGTATATTTCCCAAATAGACTAACTTTTTCCAATTATAAAGGGACAACATAAAACATGGTAAATACAGAGGTTATCATATGTATAATCAAATACAGTACCCTTACTACAAAAATATTGATCTAAAAATTATTTAAAACCTCTGTATGATCTATTATTCTACTTCTGCATTAATGGGTTTTACTAAATCGACTCAAACATTTGACCATATTTAGAAATAATAATTTATTAGGATCTAGAAGTTTTATTCATTATTCACTTTGTGGCAAATAACTTTATGTCAGTTCAAAACTAAGGTCAATAGGAAAGCAGGCTTAAAACTTGGCTAATTCCTCAAGATTAAGATGGTTTGCTTGTATTCTTCTACCGACTTAACCTGAACTTAAAACTGTCTAGCCAACTTTCTAAATATTGTCAAAGCTTCATAATGATACAAAATGCCTAGCTCCTTGATAAAAATTGAACGGCTAGACATTTAGCTAATTGAATCAAAGAAGCAGTGAATATGTTGTGGAAATCACGCTGGTTGTTAACCTGTCATAATGGATTAATCGGTCTGAGGCAAAATATAGATATTGTCTAGTCGATTTCATTCCCAGTAATCTAATTACATAGCTGACATTTATGTGAATTAACCATTTATATATTCTCTTGTTTATTGCACCAGGGGGTAATCCTGTCTGCACTCAGACATTAATTTCAGGAACTTGTTGCGACTGCTAAATACTGAATTAAACATACACAAAGAAATAGGTAAATTGTTTACCTCTTACCGATTGCCATTTTGGGAGTTGAGTGAAAAATTAAATTAAGAATAAAAAAGATAAAAGTGTACTTGTATGGTCCAATAGTAAAAACATCAGAGAATATGTGTTTCTTACTCAGTTTTATATTTGGTCACATCAAGTAGTTTGGTCTGGGTGAAGAAATAAAATGTTTTGTTTGGGATATGATCATGTGTTTAGTAACTGAGTAAAGAAAATGTTAGAATAAGCAGGACAAAAAGAAATGCATTCCAGGTCATGGTTTGATTTCTTCTACCCTTGACTTGGTTTGTTATCATCCAAAATAAAAGTAATTTAAATATACCTGAATTTTCAGAGCTTATTTTTTTTTTGTCCAAAAGTATGGTATTTATAATGACCAGAATATTTAAACATTCTACCTTAATTAGAAGCGGAGTTCTTGATGTCCCAAAGTCTTTGCCAAGAAATTATCTCTCATTAGCCTAAGCAGAAAATACGTTATTGCATGCCTGGAAATAACTGGTCGGACACGGTCAAAGTCCGATCGACTTCCGCGACTTGTCAGGTGAAACTTACAGTCTGTCATTTTGTCCGAGGAAAAATTGATCGGCAGATTATCGCCATTTTCGAAAAATGAAATTATGTTAGACTGCTACCTTTCGTGAATTTCTAACTTTACTTTCTATCGTAGCTCCATATTCTATAACTTGTAGGCTATGTCACAACCCACAGTCGGAAAATGCACATAAAAGTCTATTAATCCATAATATTACTTTTTTATCTGAAACATGTCACAGTCCAGTCAATCAACCACGCGGGCTTGCTTCAATGGCCATGGCCGTAGTCTCGGACCATTCTCAGACATAAACATAATGTTGGCGAGTGAGAGTAGCTCTATAATTTAAAATCTAACTATTCCAACACCCAACGGATACAGAGTCATAATCAGGAAAAAACTACGGGAAGGCAAATATTGACAGGGTCATGCCCATTGGGCAATCAAATATTTTTTATATCAGGGTTCAACCCCATGACTGAAGGTTCAACAATGTATCAAAAACGGAAGTAGTAAATTTATCGTAGGTGCCGAATACTAAAATTTACAGATTTTTGTCACATATATTCTAACACCCAACGGATAAGGGGTCATAATCAGAAAAGAAACTACAGGAAAGCAAATATTGACAGGGTCATGCTCGTTGGGCATCAAATATTTTTGATATCATTGTTCTACCCCATAACTGAAGATTCAACAATGTATCGAAAACGGGCCCAATACTAAAATTTACCGATTTTTGTCATTATTCATGGGAATCTAACGAGATAAAACATACATTGTTGTGGAATTTATACAATGTCATGTTTCAGAAATTTGATATTTTCTCAATAAATCCAATGCCGATACGTACTGATGAAACGTATTCCTGCATATTTACAAAATAGGCTTCCCGTTTAAAATAAACTACAGTAAAATAATTATCCATACCCCAAAAGTTCCATATTGTATTATTATTCTGATGTAGTATTTACAGGGGTAGTAATCTCTGCATGTTTTCACGGTAGCGCGTACATACATATAGATTGCGTAGCCACTACAGTTTATAAAGGGATTTAATATTTTAAGATTTTCGAGGTCAAAATAAAATGGGAGATTGGTCAAGATTTGGATCGTTTTCGACATTTATTAACTGATAATTCAATTAATACTTTATCAATTAATAATACAGTAACCCTTGTATAAGTCGGATCTTCGCTCAACTCGGATAAAATCGTTTGGACCCTTTGATCCTGCACGTTTTTCTTGTTAAATTTCTGCGCGTAACTTGGATTTCCTATGTTGGATCTTCACTTAACTCGGATAAAATTGTTCAGTCCACTTAGATTCGACTTATGCGAAGTTTACTGTACAACAAACAAATAAGTTCCCAAAAGAAGATTGTATTTTCAACACTCTATAGAAAAGGCAGGAAATTGTCGCATGATTAG